ATATATATATATATATATATATATATATATATATATATATATATATATATATATATATATATATATATATATATACATACATATATATACATATATATATATATATATATATATATATATATATATATATATATATATATATATATATACATACATTATATATATAATATATATATATATATATATATATATATATATATATATATATATATATATATATGCATGCAATAAGATCACAGTAAACAGGTGATTTCAGAATGTGCAAAACAACCACTCTGAAAGAATAGAGAAATTCCAAGTGCTTTCGTGACTACTCACATTATCAAGGAACTATGAAAGTAAAGCATCCAAGGAAGGTATATAAGGGGTCTGGCCAACACCTCACTATCAGATCCCACAACGGTTAAATACCTGACGCGCGCCGGCCCAACTGGACAGGTCCTTTGCACAACCCACCAACAAACTATTCTACCCAAGAAAATTTTAAAAATTATTATTTGTCCAGTGTATTATTAAATTCTTCCCAAATTCTATTAATTATAAATGGATCTAATTTATATAAACCAAAGGAAATATTCATATTATTGTCAAAACTGCTTTTTATGAAACAAGATTCAATTATATTCCTGTCGACCATGGACTTGCTTGATACTACTTTCTCAACTTTTTGAAAATCAATTGGATGGTTAAAATCTCTTACATGAATAAATAGCACAGTATCATCAGCAAAAAGTAACCGTGTCAATTCCCATTTTGAATTTGATTCCCCATAATTTAATCCCACCCCTCAGTGGCAACATGCAGACCCCATCAACTTCCTAATGGAAAATATTGACTCCCTTCTGCTACAACACAACTGTCAACATATCATAATTGTTGGTGACCTCAACCAGCACCTTATACAGAGGGACTTTGATGACCTTCTTGCAGTGTTTGACATGAGAAACTTTGTTGATTTCCCTACTCACATCTCTGGCTCCTCCCTTGACCCAGTAGTGAGTGATCTGGCAGAAGGCATAGTCACTTGTCAACCCCTTGGCTATGTTGGATCGTCTGACCACAAGGCTGTTTTTACGACACTTAAGATCCCAACAGAACGAGGTGAGGAGTCCACACGCATAACCTGGCTATGGGAAAGAGGTAATTGGCCAGCCCTTCGCTCTGAGCTCGCCACCACCGATTGGAATGCTCTTCTCCAAGGGGATGTTGACAACCAAGTGAAAGCCTTCACTGGATACATCCTTAATCTACAACAAGAACACATTCCTCACTGGCAATATGTGACGAAGCCTACAGATCAGCCATGGTTTGGCTTTCATTGTAGAGAGGCTGCTACTGCTAAGTACAAAGCATGGCGAAGGTATATGAGACATCCTACCACCTATAACAGGAACTTACACAGGCAAGCCTGTAGGCACATGGGTGACGTTCAAAAGTGGGCCATTGCTAAATGGGAGGTGGACATTAAAAGAAAGTTAGCATCAGGTAGGGTAGGCTCCAAAACCTGGTGGTCCCTGGTCAAGGACAGACAAGGTTATCTGCCTGATGAACTCATTCCACCTCTAAATCAACAGGATGGGACCACCTCTACTAGTAGTCAAGAGAAGGAGGACCTCTTTGCTGAACACTTTGCTACCAAAATGCAAGTTCCTGATCCAGCAAGGGACCCTCCTTGGCTAGCTGCAAGAACTGTGTCAAAACTGTCAGTGGTGACAATAAGGCAGGAGGAGGTGCATTTCCTTCTTAAATTGCTTGACCAAGAAATGGCTGTGGGCCCAGACAAGTTGAGCCCAAGATTGCTGAGAAGATGTGCAGACCAGCTAGCAGCACCTCTAACTCGCATCTTTCAGCACTGCCTAGTACAGTGTAAATGGCCCTCTCTATGGAAAGAGGCAAATGTAGTCCCTGTTCACAAAAAGAAGAGCAGAGCAGAAATCAGCTACTACACACCAGTGTCACTCCTGTCAATCACTGGTAAGATCCTTGAGACAATCATCTCAAGACAAATGACAGAGTTTTTTGACTATCATTCGCTACCTTGTGATCGTCAATATGGCTTCAGGAAAGGTTACTCTGCTGCTGATCTGTTGTTAAACCTCTCCACTAAGTGGCACCAGTCACTGGATGAATCCAAAGTCAGCTGTGTGGTAGCACTGAACATTGCTGGCGCTTTCAACCGGGTGTTGCACCAGGGCCTCTTAGCAAAACTTCAAGCACTGGGAATTGCAGGCTATATGCTATGTCTCCTCAGTGATTACCTTCATGGTAGATCTCTAAGTGTAGTTCTCAATGGAATGGAATCAGCAAGACATCCTATTGGGGCAAGTGTTCCACAAGGAAGCGTGCTGGGACCATTGTTATGGAATGTCTACTTCAACGACCTTCTTCATCTCATCCCAGAATCACATGCATATGCAGACGACTGTACACTGACATTCACTTATCCAAGAGAAGAAATGCCAGCTGCTCTAAGCTACATCAATCACCAGCTGAGAGCTATATCAGCTTGGGGAAATAGATGGCAAGTAACATTTGCACCTGAGAAAATGCAAATGATAATCGCCTCTAGGCATCATGATGGTAATGCTGGTGCAGTAGTAAGGATGAATGGGAGGGTGTTGGCACCTGGAGAAGAAGTTGATATCCTTGGGGTGAAATTTGACTCCAAACTAACCATGAAGAACCATGTTGTAAATCTTGCAAACAAGGCAGCCAGGAAGCTTACAGCACTTCGCCGTATCTCACATCTACTTGACAGTAGGGGTTGCAAGATTCTGTATGAGGCACAAGTACGCTCACATCTTGAGTATGCTCCACTTTCTTGGTTTGCCTGCCCCCCTTCTCATCTGCGACTGCTTGACAGAGTAGAGAACAGAGCAATACGTCTCATCTCTCGCCTGGATCCATCCTGGATAGATCTGTCATTTCAGCAGAGCCTTCAACATAGGAGGGATGTGGGTGGTCTTACTGTTATGTACAAGGCCAATATTGTCAAAGTACCACACTTGGATCCACTTCGAGGACAGTGTGAAACAAGCTTTTATGCCACAAGACGGCAGAAAGCAGCAACTTCACTCTGGCTGTACCCTTCTCCAGAACATCACTCCATCTGAGATCATATATACCCAGGATGACTCAAGTATGGAACACATTCGTACAGCATAATGATGTCAACAAGATAAAGTCAGTTGATCACATGAAAATGCTGGCCCACAGATGGCTCCAATTTCATCCTGTTCCCTACTTGTATGTCTCATAACAATAAAAATTGCTTTCAAATGAGCTGATGTAGGTAACAGCTCTTAGCTTGCCAATAAAGTTAGGAATCCTTAACCTGTAAATAGCTTGTCAATAACGCTAGGGATCCTTAACCTTGTCAAACCCTGTGTAAAGAAAAAAAAAGAGCCAGAGAGAGAGAGCCAGAGAGAGCCAGAGAGCCAGAGAGCCAGAGAGAGAGAGAGAGAGAGAGAGAGAGAGAGAGAGAGAGAGAGAGGAGAGAGAGAGAGAGAGAGAGAGAGAGAGAGAGAGCCAGAGAAGCGAGAGAGAGCCAGAGAGAGAGCCAGAGAGCCAGAGAGAGAGCCAGAGAGTGAGCCAGAGAGAGAGCCAGAGAGAGAGAGAGAGAGAGAGAGCCATAACAATAAAACAATAAAAATACTTTCAAATGAGCTGATGTAGGTAACAGCTCTTAGCTTGCCAATAAAGTTAGGAATCCTTAACCTGTAAATAGCTTGTCAATAAAGCTAGGGATCCTTAACCTTGACAAACCCTGTGTAAAAAAAAAAAAAAAAAAAAAAAAAAAAGAGAGCCAGAGAGAGAGAGAGAGAGAGAGAGAGAAGAGAGAGAGAGAGAGAGAGAGAGAGCCAGAGAGAGAGAGCCAGAGAGAGACAGACAGAGAGAGACAGAGACAGACAGCTGGCTGGCTGGCCAGCTCTCTCTCTCCCCCCCTGGAACAAGTGCTTGAAATAATGTTCCACAAATGCCAAGACAATTGGTGCCCTATCCCTTCTGCTCACACCATTGCTCAAGTATGTTTCCTGCTTACTTTGTTTCACATTCTTTGCTACCTGGTATTCTAAACAACCCTGGTTCCTGAGACTGCAAGCTATGACTCAGGCCAATCCATTTCTAAAAGACATCAACTGCAGACTTCAGAGCTCAGAGGATGGCCTGGTCCTGGTCTCAGAGTTTTTCTCCTCTTCTTTACATGAGGGGGTGTTTCTCCTTCCACAGCTTTGCTCTGCATTTTATTTATTTATTTATGTCTTTGCAAATAGTACATTGAGATTATGTATTTACAATAATGGGTTGCAATGCAAAGAGAGCCTCTGTTATGCCTAGGCATTATGGGCCGACTTAACATTATTGGCTTACTGACTACTTAACACTAAGAATTGTATCATAGTTGTACAGTAGAATATTAATTATATCATAGTTGTACAGTAGAATATTAATTATATCATAGTTGTACAGTAGATTATTAATTATAGGTGAATCTAGTTTATGTAAGACAAAAGATATATTCATATATTCAAAAATGCTTCTTGTGAAAACAATAATTCAATTACATTCCTGTTGACAATGGATAAAAGGTTCAAAAGTAGTTGCTGAAATTATGATATGGGAATACATATTGATTATATGAGTACTGAGTATTTAGTCTATGGTGATTAAGTGGCTTTTGAGAAGAGTCTTAAATTGATTTTCAGACCGGGTTACTTGTATCTTCTGGTAATGAATTCCATATTTTGGGGCCCTTTATGTGCATAGAGTTTTTACACAGTGTGATATGGATACGTGGTACATCAAAATGAGATCTGTGTCTTGTGTTATGGTCATGTGTCCTGTTAAGGTTGGTGAGAAGTTTGAGTGGAGGGTTTATATTTGTATTGTTCTGTGTATGTAGTAGGCACATGAATAAGTATGGATGTCCGTAATGGTGAGCAGATTTAGACTTTTGAAAATTGGTGGAGTATTGTAAGCAAAAACATGAAAATGCTGACCTGACGGAAGAGATTGACATCAGCTTCATCCAGAGCAGCATTGCTACTCTCCTGCAGGAACTTGTCTGGAGGCACTCCAGTCTCCACTAGTGCTTTCAGGGCATTAAACCTGATGGATTGCATCATCCTCATTAATTATCATCATATTTATTGTCTCACACAACTTTTTTTTTAAATACAAAGGCTTACCTAACAATAAGTACAGCTTCTCCTCACTTAATGACGGAATTCTGTTCCTAAGACCACACTAAAATGGTAGTGGGTATGTGTCAGCCATCTTTGATATTGTTTTAATGTCACCTCTGGACCATTTATCACATTTCTGGTATATTTTTAAATGTTTATACAGTAGTGTACTGTATATTGTAATAAACAGAATAGAGGAAATCAGCTGTAATATACATTATTTAGGTACGCATACTGGTCAGAGAGCCTGTCGTAAGTCTGAGGTGTTGGTAAACAAGTATGTTGCTAAGTGAGCAGAAGCTATAATTCCACTGAAAATAAGCATTTCTGATTTATTTTCTAAACCAGTAGTTACCCACCAAGGTAGAATGATCCAATAGATAAACACATTCACGATGCAATAGCTCTCTTGGCAAAAGTGCATGAATATCATACTTCATATGACCCTTTGAACCACAACATATCCACCTATCCTTAAGGATGCAGGCACTGTACTTCCCATCTCGAGAACATAAGCCCTGCTGATCAGGATTTCCTGAAATCCTTTACTTAATGTTGGCTTGCTTACAACTGTAACTCTAACAATAATTGTTTTGTAACATTTTCATACTGTTATTATGATCAAATTTCAATGTATAGCAAAAGTGTAGGAATAGACATTTGATTTTTAAGTGATAAATTTCTATTATTACAGGTAGTAGGTTGGTAGACAGCAACCGCCCAGGGGGGTACTACCGTCTTGCCAAGTGAGTGTGAAATGAAAGCCTGTAATTGTTTTACATGATGGTAGGATTGCTGGTGTCTTTTGTCTGTCTCATAAATATGCAAGATTACAGGTACATCTTGCTACTTCTACTTACACTTAGGTCACACTATACACATACATGTACAAGCATATATATACATACATACCCCTCTGGGTTTTCTTCTATTTTCTTTCTTGTTCTTGTTTATTTCCTCTTATCTCCATGGGGAAGTGGAACAGAATTCTTCCTCCGTAAGCCATGTGTGTTGTAAGAGGCGACTAAAATGCCAGGAGCAAGGGGCTAGTAATCCCTTCCCCTGTATATATTACTAAATGTAAAAGGAGAAACTTTCGTTTTTCGTTTGGGCCACCCCGCCTCGGTGGGATACGGCCGGTTTGTTGAAAGAAGAAGAAATTTCTATTATATACCTGTACTATAAAATGGGTGTCAGAGATATGAAATAGGAGTCACAAAAATTAATTTAATGTGCTGAAAATACAGATGGTTGTTATGGTTGATTACAGGTAAAAAGGCACTGTGATAACCAGTACACGATGCTGGGCCCTCAGCTCCAGGTGGTGCATCATGGGAGGGCATCACATCAAACAGGAACACTGGCTGGAGGAAGTATGTCATGTTGGAACAAACTGCAAACCGTGTAGGCTGAGTGACAGGGCTTAACCATGTGGCAGTCAAACGATGCTTGGAGGGGGTGATAAAGTACCTCAACACATGACTTGTCTCTCCCCCTCACATTCTCACTCTCTCACACACTCTCACACACTCACTCTCACACACTCACTCTCACACACTCACTCTCACACTCTCTCACACACTCACTCTCACACACTCACTCACACACACTCACTCACACACACTCACTCACACACACTCACACACACACACTCACACACACTCACTCACTCACACACACTCACTCACACACACACACACACACTCACACTCACTCACACACACACTCACTCATACACACTCACTCACACACACTCATTCACACACTCATTCACATACTCACACTCATTCACATACTCACACTCACTCACACACACTCACACACACTCACTCACACACACTCATTCTCACACACACTCATTCACACACACTCATTCACACACACTCATTCACACACACTCATTCACACACTCATTCACACACTCACTCACACACTCACTCACACACACTCATTCACCACACACACTCACACACACACACACTCACACATACACACACACACACACACACACACACACACACACACACACACACACACACACACACACACACACACACACACACACACACACACATACACACACACACACACACACCTGATGATACTGGAGGACAGGAGAGATATGATAATAACATAAAATACTGAGAGGAATCAACAAGGTGGACAGAGACAGGATGTTCCAGAGATGGGTCACAGTTGGAAGTTGAAGACTCAGATGAACCACAGGGATGTTTGGAAGTATTTCTTCAGTCACAGAGTTGTCAGGCAGTGGAATAGTCTGGGAAGTGATGTAGTGGAGGCAGAATCCATACATAGCTTTAAGAAGAGGCATGATAAAGATCATGGAGCAGGAAGAGTGACCCAGTAGCGGCCAGTGAAGGGGCAGGGTCGGGAGCTGTGATTCGACTCCTGCAACCACTAGGTGAGTACGCTCATACAGTGTGGTGCACACTGACCACACAGACACATTCTCTCACATGTGGGCCTACCAGCTTTCTCCTGCTTGATTTGAAGCCGCTAGAATTATTGAGTATATGTACGTCCGAAACACTGGCTCATAAGATGTATATATACGACCAAAACAGTCAAAGGGTTAAGCAATACATTAAACATAATAGTGCATCACAACAATGAATAACAATTACATTATTAATTTTATTTTTGTAAGATTTGGAAACCTGAAAAAAAAAGTAATTTGGCAGTTTTTGGGGCCCCAGGAACATTACCCTATTTTTTTCCCATAAGTTCTTCAGTTTGTTTAACATGGTTTCGTGTAACACTGTGTTTTCAGGAACGTAACTGCCATGTTAACTGACGGTCTACGGAATAGATACTACAGCACAGTAATTATTGCACAGAATAGGAACTTACATTCCTTGCAATAAAGTATATATGCTAAAGAATATGTCAATCCATACCATACCAAAAGGACATATGTACTTACCTATTCCACTCAACAGCCAGGTGAAAGAGGCTATATTTGATGACACTTGTCGACTTGGGAACAATGTGCTCCATGGAGGTAAGACTGAGGATCTTTTCTAAAAGGTCACTACATCCTGGGTCAACATTGGTCTCATCTTCATCACTGAAGAAATAATTTACACACAAAAAATTACTCAGATTTAGATACAAGAAGCAAACAAAAAGTAATACCCTTCTAGAAGCTCTTTCAGCTTATTTTTCCCTTAAGGGTTAGGCAGCTAAATTTTCATTTAGAAATATAAAAAACTGGAGAACTTTGGAAAATACAATTAACCATTAAACTATGGCATACCCAAATATAAAATTTCCTGCATATGAACAAAATTCCTAGGTAGTAGGTTGGTAGACGGCAACCACCCAGGGAGGTACCACCATATTACAAAGTGAGTGGAAAACAGAAACTTGTAATTGCTTTACATGATGGTAGGATTGCTGGTGTCTTTTTTGTCTCATAAACATGGAAGGTTTCGGGTACATCTTGCTACTTCTACTTACACTTAGACCACACTACACATGCATGTACAAGCATATACACCTACCATCCGACTTACGACCGAGTTCTTTTCTGAGAATGTTGTGACCCACTTTAGGAAAGTCATAAAGGAACGGGAGGTAAAGGCCTCTATGGACAGATATGTTGTGCGACAGAGGTCCAGTGACTCTGAAGTTGATCCTAGTGGCATTAAAAGAAGAAGGGAAGTAACCCCGGAGAAGGACTTGCTACCTCAAGTCCTAATGGAAGGGGATTCCCCTTCTAAACATTAACAATATCCACACTCTCCCCTCCTCCCATCCCATCAATCATCACCAGATCTTCAGTAAAGGTAAGTCTCAGTTTGTGTGTATTAAAATTAATATTTCATATGGTAAAAAAAAAAAAATTTTTTCATACTTTGGGGTGTCAGGAACAGATTAATTTGATTTCCATTATTTCTTATGGGGAAAATTAATTCAGCTAATGATAATTTCAGCTAACAATGAGCTTTCAGGAATGGATTAATATTGTTAGCTGAGGGTCCACTGTATATTCTTTCTTAGTTTGAAAGAAAAATAATCACCTGTCAGTGACAGTGGCATATATGCCCTAAGTATCACATTCAGTGGAACCCTGGATTTCGTCTTTAATCCGTTCCAGAAGGTAGGTCTAAATCCGAAACAGACAAAAACCGAAGCAATATTTCCCATGAGAAATAATGTAAATACAATTAATCCGTTCCAGACACCCACAAATAAAAAAAAAAAAAAAAAAAAAAAACTATAGTTTTACATATAGAAAACAGTGAGAAAGAAACATAAATGACTAGTGAAATGGATAAATGAACATTTAACATAGCACCTTTATTGAAGACTCTTGTTGGGGTATGGATGGCGAGGAGGGGAGAGGGAGGAAGAACACAGGTTATTGTTTGGAAGGGAAATCCCCCTCCATAAGGACTTCAGGTATCAAAGCCCTATCCGAGGTCCACAGAGCTGTTTCTGGCTGAAATGGGACAAGGTATTGTCATTGAACGTGTTGCCGATACAGCTTGCATCAGCATGGTGGTGGCTTATTTTGCAGTTGCACTCAATAAACAAGCACAAAAAAAATGGATTATTATGAAATGTTTTGGATGAATGCTTACTCAACCAGTGATAAAGCCAGACTGAGACACATATGCATGAGTGGCAGCATCTAGGGCGGCCAGACGTGTCTAATACAGATGATTTCTGGGAGGAGGTACGAAATCCAGAGCAAAATTTCGCCAAAAAAAGTGTTCGAAATCCGAATCATATGATATCCGGTGTGGATGAAATCCGGAGTTCCACTGTATTTTACAATTTACTGATGCTAGATTATAACTGCTTTTTTTTAGGGGGGGAATTCTAGGTCTAACACTATGTATATTAGTCTCTTATGATATCATGTGTGTTTCAAGGTGTTTTGGTACTAAAGCACATTGGGAGATGCACAGCCTGACAAAGCCCCACAAGAAATAAACATATGTAATTTTTTTCTGATTTTTTTACTGTTTTGGTCTTTTATTATGTACAAGGAAACTTGATAATGCTTTTATTCAGAAAGGACAGGAAATTTGTAGATCAAGTGCTCAGATTAACCCTTTTGTTGTCCAGACACTGTCCTTAACCCTTAAACTGTCCAAACGTAGATCTACATTTACTCGTGTAGCACTCCGCACATAGATCTACGTTTTATTTTACATTTGAAGGCATGTAAAAAAACGTAGATCTACGTTCGGAGCTCTATGCAAGTGAACGTAGATCTACGTTTGGACAGTATAAGGGTTAACCCTTTCAGGGTCGAGATGAATGGTTTGAAAAAACGACAAGTTGAAGATTGAGACACTTATGCAACATATGGGAATCTTTATTCAGGAAACGTTTCGCCACACAGTGGCTTCATCAGTCCAATACAAAGTAGAAAAGCGTAAAGAGAGGAGAAGTTTGAGGTAATCAGTCCCTCAGCCTGGAGTCGATGTGTTCAGTCCATCAATCTTGTAGAATGTACAGCATAGGGCCGTAGACGTGGCTTATATACTGTAGTGAGGTGAGGCGAAGCAGGAGGAGGTGGGGTCATAGTGGTATCATCCACTAGTCGAAGTAGGTCTTCGTCCAAAGGTTGGACAAGTGTTGAAGAATTCTTTGTAACAAGATCCCATGATGCTGCAGTGTCTGACAGTTGTGATGAATGAGGGACTGATTACCTCAAACTACTCCTCTCCTTACGCCTTTCTACTTTGTATTGGACTGATGAAGCCACTGTGTGGCGAAACATTTCCTGAATAAAGATTCCCATATGTTGCATAAGTGTCTCAATCTTCAACTTGTCGGTTTTTTAAACCATTCATCACAACTGTCAGACACTGCAGCATCATGGGATCTTGTTACAAAGAATTCTTCAACACTTGTCCAACCTTTGGACGAAGACCTACTTCGACTAGTGGATGATACCACTATGACCCCACCTCCTCCTGCTTCGCCTCACCTCACTACAGTATATAAGCCACGTCTATGGCCCTATGCTGTACATTCCACAAGATTGATGGACTGAACACATCGACTCCAGGCTGAGGGACTGATTACCTCAAACTCCTCCTCTCCTTACGCCTTTCTACTTTGTATTGGACTGATGAAGCCACTGTGTGGCGAAACGTTTCCTGAATTAAGATTCCCATATGTTGCATAAGTGTCTCAATCTTCAACCTTTCAGGGTCGATCTCGTAGTATTACGGCTTGAGAGCCAGTGTCGGTCCTGTAATACTACACCAAAATTCTAGCACCTTCAAATCTAGTGGGAGAAAGCTGGTAGGCTTGCATGTGAATGAGTCTGCATGGTCAGTGTGCACAGTATGAAAAAAATCAGGGCACCGGTACTGCATTGTGGGAATGCCATTTAAGTATGCCTTGTTTACCATACCTCGTGGTAAGAAACTCCTCACTCCCCAGCAAATTGGGACTCTTCTGTTCCAAGTGATAGTTCAAACACAGATATAAGTGTTAGGTGAATTTCATGGTATTGAGGAGTTTGTGACCGAAAGTAATGCCCATAATACTGGTAATAGTGATGAAAACCCAGACGACCCTCAACCTTCCACCTCTGGTGTAGGGCTGTCTTGTTCATGTTCAGTTGTACCAGAATGAAAGAGGAAATTCATATTTTCCCATGTCCAGGACTCAGATGTGAGCAGTGGTGATGATAGTGACAGTGAATATGAGATCCAAGCTCTTGAAAACAGTTCCAGTAGCAAGAGCGAAGTGAAATATTCTCCAGTGAAACATCAGTATATACGACGCTACATGCATTCTGGTAGTGCCCCATATGCTATTCCAAGGGGAAGGAGTACATCTCGCAGTACATCCCATGGCCGTACAACAGGAACAGATGGTGAAAATGAAGATGATATTGTTACAATTCGGATGGATAATGTGCATGCATCATCAGATGGTGGTGGTGTCATGTGCCATGAGGCACCAGCAGCGGCTCATGCTGGTAGCCACGCCGCTGATTCAATGCAGCTAAAACAAAGCCCACCCTCACTCACACACCCACCACACCAACCTGCACAACCACAACCTCCATAACCACAACCTCCACAACCACAACCTCCACAACCACAACTGCCCGTCAATATCCAGTACCCACCAGCAGACCGCATCTGGGATTGGCAGCTAGGTGCCAATTTTGTTCCCAATCCCCATCACCTTGATGAAACTCTAAGTGGAATACAGCCATTCTGTACACTTGGGAACAATGCCACTGAACTGGAATGTTTCCAGTTATTCTTTGTTGAACCCCTAATGGAAATTGCTGTTAGGGAAAGTAACACATATTTTGATTACACCATGGCAAACACAATTCTTTCACCAAGATCATGCCTACACTAGTGGAAGGAGAACCGTGGCTGAGATGTATCCTTTCTTTGCCACAATAATGCTTATGCCACATGTGTATAAGCACACTGTCAAATCATACTGGTCGACAGACCGCCTGATTTCAACCCAAGCTTTCAGTTACATAATACCAGTGAATCAATTTGGGCTACTACTACGTATGCTACACTTCTCAGACAAAACCAGCCCTGACAGAAACGACAGGTTATGTAAGATTAGGAATGTGTTTATATATCTGAAACAGACATCCTCTATGTATTTTTATCCCTTCAGGAAGCTTGTTACTGACGAGTCTTTGATTTTGTTCAAAGGTAGACTGTCATTCAAGCAGTATATACCAAGCAAGAGGAAATGCTTTGGTAAAAAGTTGCTTGTATGTACTTTGTGATTGCTACAGTGGTCTTGTATTGGATATTATTGTGCACACTGGAAGTAATACATTGCAAGGTACCAGGAAGTTATTGGGCATCTCTGGAGATGTGGTTAGAACAATGATAGACCCATATCCTGGTAAGGGGCATACATTATATACTGATAACTGCACTCTGAAGGAGGGGTGTTAATGTTGCAGCTTAAAAACTGTACTGTAAAGCACCCTTCTGGCAAGACAGTGATGGAGTGAATGATGGTGAAAGTTTTTCTTTTTTGGGCCACCCTGCCTTGGTGGGAATCGGCCAGTGTGATAATAATAAAAAAAAAAAAAAGTAAAAAACT